CTGATAGCTGCTAAGGGCACTTTGACTGCCGGCTCCTCGGGCATGAAGTTGTTTTTGAGCCGAGTCTCCACTCTGCCTAACCCCTGCAGGAGTGCTGTGTAACTTCGGGTTTGTTTAGACAGTTGGTGACCTTTGACCCCTCTGAGTACAATGTTTAGGCTGAGGAAGACTGAAAAGAGCTTTCAGATGGGATATTTCCAGCCTCTTTCAAGCTGGCGCAGCCTTCCCCTCAGCACAGCAGACCCTTATATAGACATGGCTTTCAGCCTCGTACAGTGTTCTGGTGAGACAAACCAGATCAAAGCCTTGCTTAATATGTTTGAAAAATGCACATCCGCATTGCAGAGCCAAAACATGTTATGGAAATCAATAATATCATATTCAGGCAGCCCCAACTTCAAAGGGAATCCTATGTGTGTTCTCAATTTCAAAAGAAAGTGCAGAAAATGAGAACAGGGTGCATAAGTTTTCTCTGCTTAATTCTATTTGTAACTGAGCTGAGATCGCAAAGGTCTCTTTACTGCCTTTTGAGGGGTCCCTGAGGACTCTGGGCGTCGGGCAATCTGCGTATTAATTGCCTGCACCTGTGGTAATCTTGCACACTTCGGCTACGAGCGTGGTCAACTTTCCTCCACACCACGCTTTTAGAGTGCAAATTATTTACGCTTTGTTGGAGGAGGAGTATGTGAGGGGGGATATAAAATGAGAAACGCAAAGTTAATGTAGATTACCTGTTAGAGTCTTTTATTTGCCAGAATCGTTTCGTGTTGATAGGATTACTTTCTATTATTAGCTACGGTATGTGTTGAGGATCCATTGTATGTCTGTCTGCCACATTCTGAGCTGCAGTATAAATGTATTTTTAAATTACAAAAGCTTTTGGGGGTAGGGTTGAATCTATATTTCATATAGATTTTACATATTATATAATGTTATGTATTATATAACATATTATATAATGTTATGTATTATATAATATGTTATATATTATATAATATATAATACGTAATATATTATAGATATTATACATATATATAGAACATGCTTTATGATGATACTAGTTATGTGTGTGTGCTTATGCCTTCTACTGTCTAGTGTCTAGTAGCAATACTTGGCTTGACACCTGTGCCATGCATGTATTGTCTCACGTGCTAGAAAGTAAATATTGACCATATTTTGATGGACAGATTGTATAAAATTACCCTTGTCGCCAACTCTTCTTTTTTTAAAGCTGGAATTCCTTTCTTTTTTTAACTGCCAGAGGACACATGCACTCACCAGAGACCATGAGGGGGGGGGAGCTCCAAACGTGTGGTCACGCCACAGTCCGTTTTCCCTCATCGCTCTCACCCATTGGGATTTGGGTCATGCATGCATATGTACTGGCATTTTTTCAAACTACTGGGGCTGGGATTCAAACAGTGGTCAGACATGAAGGATCTGGGTCCCTATGCATAGGCCTTAGCCACCAAGTGATGGAGCCAGCCCTGGGTTGCTTTTCTGAAATGATGCTCATGTCCAGGATTTAAAACTTGAGAAGAGAGACCCAGATTGGATTTGGAGATCTGATCTGTTTCTTAACTTTGCAGTTACCCATTGGATGGCTTGCCAAGGTTTAGGCCATACAATATGACCCCTTCCATTAAAATCGTTCATTCATTCTTTCTTTCTTTTTCTTTTGAGAGATTTCTGCTATAGAGCACATGTGCTTGCTAGAGAGAGAAAGACAGAAAGCAAGAAATCATCCCCGGGGCGGGGGGTGGATTTTGGACACACACACACACACACACACACTTTTCCAGTTTGAGTTTCAAGCCACTTGGTTCAGGACTCAAACCATGGTCGACCATGTGGGAGTCCAGTGCCTTAACCACTATGCCACCTGCTGGCCCCTTCTTACTTCTTAATGTCTGATAAATTCACTTTGTGATCTTTGTCCAACAGTGTTAACTGTTTTGGAAGATTCAGGTGATGGACAGAGATAAAACTGAATTGTGGATTTTTAAAAAGAATTATTCATTTTTAATTTTATTTATTATTATTCAATTTGACCAGAGAGAGAGAGAGGAAGCAAGCCTCCAGGTTCAGGACTCAAACTGCAGTCGACCATGTGGGAGTCCAGTGCCTTAACTCCCACACCACCAGCTGGCCCCGAATTGTGGATTTTAATGATACTACACAGTCATTTGTTGAGAGAATGGGGAAACTGTAGGCTCTGCTGCAGTGTCCTGCAGGGGCGGAAGCCATAGGGCCGACTCTGAGTTTGGGTCCCTGAGCCAGACTGAACACACTTGGCGTATGTGCAGGTGCCAGGCTCCTGAGGAACCGGAGAACTGGGGAAGAGCATCACGATGCATGGGGCCCTGTCAAGCTTTTCTCTCTCTCTCGCACGCATGCGCACATGATCTCTGAAAAACAGCAACTAAAACAAAACGAAAGAAAAAAACAAAAAACACACACTGGGTGGACCAGATAGATACACTCGGAAACTTAGTGTCTAAATTCATCTTGGATCTTACTCATTTCTGCCTGAGCCTTGGTTCTCAGAACCTTTCATCATCAGCTCATCTCTAAAACTACACCCATGATTTTGATCAGTTTCTTGTAGGTTCACTTTTAGATGACTCCCCAGATGCAGTCTGTGTCCCCCAACTCTGCACAGACTGACAGTTCCCCTGCTGAAATGGCTCCTCCTAACCCGGGAGCTGAGCAGATAAAAGGGCGGGCACTCTGGGTGTGGGAGCAGAGTGGGGTGAATGGCAGACACAGCTGTGGCCTGGGGGCTCTCCTCTCACTCCTCCTGTGTCCCCGCAGCCTACCTGTCACCACTTCTTGCAGGCTTCCCCCAGGCAGCTGGGGTTTCACTTGACTCCCATGTCAGGTGCTGTGAAGACAGTTCTGAGTTTTGACAGGAGTATCAACTTCAGTTTTCCTAACTAGCAGCACCAAATAGACTGCTCTAGGGATTAGTGCCCTAAGCCAGCTGGTGGGGTGCAGTTGATGGTTGCTCTTGTTGTTTATAAAAGCACATTTAAAAAAAAAAATTATAATGCGACTCTCAGCTGCAGAGTTAGGTAACCCCAAAGAATCCTGACTCAGAATTCAGAAAATCTCTGAAAATGTCACACACACACACACACACACACACACACACACAGACAGACACACACACACCCGGGGGTGTAGAGAGGGGGTAACCTTCAAAAGTTCATGGAAAATATATAAAAGCTATATATAGATATTATATAACTATGACACAAAATAATATATAAAGTCATATTATGAAAAGATTACATGGATTTTACCAATTTTTGCACCAAAATAAACTTGTATTTTAATTTCCTAGTACCTTTTTAAAAAATTATTTTTTAAAATTATCTCATTTAATTTTATTTATTTTAATTTGACCAGAGAGGGTCCAAATGAAAGGTGGGGGGGAGAGAGAGAGAAAGAGAAAGTGAGAAAGCAAGCTGCCAGGTCTGGGAATTGAACTGCGGTTGGTCATGTGGGACTCTAGTGCCCTTAACTAGCAAAACCCCATCTTGCAGACCTTTCCTGTGAGCACCGCCGGCCCTCCCTCCCAGCCCCATGCAGTGGGTGCTACGAGCCCCTCTAGGTTTAGTGAGACGCTCTGAGTCGTTGTCTTCATGGATTTTCTGAGCACTCAGTTCCACCAGAGCAAGCCCACAGTTTGCTTCACAATCACCGCAAGTGTGTGCCGTGTCACTCTCTTGATCACTGGCCTGAGCTTTCCATGCTAACCGCACGTTTCTGAGTAATCAGGCGTCTCCACACTTTTCCGCGGTATTATGGTAAAAGCCTTGGTCAAGTTGTTTTCAAAGGGGGTGGGGGTGCTGTATTTTTAGTATTAAAGTGACCCCTGGGTCCTGGGTAAAATGCAGACTGCAGAAAAGAGGAGATGACCAACCAAGGAACTTTGGCCTTTGTCCCAGAAATAATTTCTTGAGGAGCCTCTGGCTGAATTTCCAGAGATTCTTAGTACACTGAAATGGACAACCATGAGTTTGTCTTGAATGTTTATACTGCAGTTTCTTAACAACATACGAACACGATCAAAACATTATAAATAATCTTTGGACTCTTGAAATTCACAGACATTTGTCTGACTTGAAAAACATGCTGAAGGCAAGGAGTTTGGAGTTTCTAATCTGGAATGACTGAATTAAATGAGCTAATGTATGCCAAAGTATTCTAACTAGTAACAGCCAGTTAGAGGGGGTCACTGCGGAAATATTAAACATGCGTCGTCACTTTCAGGTTTTTAGTCCTACGACAATCCAGGGCAGGATTAATATCCATATTTCACAGCAGGAAGATCTCTCTCCCTACCCCTCTTTCCTTGTCCTCACACGTATGACCTGTTATACATTTTGATGCTTTCTCCTACACCTTTCACAGACCTGTCCATTCCTTTTCAAAGACCCCTACCACCACCTGATCTACTCCTTGCTGGAATAATCAATAGTTTCCTGCCTGATATCCCTGGATCCCCTTTTGCCTCTTCCATGCACTCTCTGTGGCTGGATTTTGCTACAGAAGAACAGATTGAATTGAATCTCCATTCCTTACACCCTTGGCTGGCTTCTTGACTTTCACCTTCCTGTGACAAGGTTTGGCAGATCAGCCCCTGTCTGTGACTGCAGCCTCACTGTCCTTCGCCTCACCCTGCTCTCCTAGCTCATTAGCTGCACTAGCATCCCGCCCCCTTCGCCCTCTCTGATTTTCTCTGGGCTTAGAATGAGCGCATTTTCCTGGCATCTCCTCAATTGCCTCTGGCTTCTCCCTTATCTTTAGCTTGCATGTCACCTCCTTGGACAGGTCCTCCTGACCCCGGAGGACAGGTGCCTTTGAGTCCCACACAGCCCTTCTTCCCACCCCAGATAGTTTTCCTGGCTGCGGTGATTGTTCAAGGATCTGTCTTTCCCCCTCGAGTAGCGTCTTCGAGAAATCTGGGACTTTACTCCTTTTGTTGTCAAGGACATTTCATCTCGTAATGCAGGGTCCGGCACAGAGTAAGCATGCAATGAACATTTCCCGGATGAGCCAAGGCCTGTTACTTTTACAAATTGCATTTCTTGTT